AAATTAGTTTGACACACTTGTCAAAAAGTTTTGAAATATCAAGGACAACAAGCCCGTTTTCCGTTTATCAGTTGAATATGGATTAATTAAAAATTTAGTTGAGCCAAGCAAGAAAATAAAATTATTCCTTTTTTTTCTTTATCATACTTATTATGATGATATTGTTCCCGCTGATATCGGTAGTCAATCAGCGCAATTACTCAAAGAAAAGGGTTATCAAGTTGAATTTGAAAACGATTATAACGGTAATCATGTTTTTCGCCCGAAAGAACTGCAAAAAATAATGGCTAAAAAATTAAATGCTCTTCTGTAAAATTTTAAAATTAATTAAGAAAGAGAAAATGATTGAAAGGTGATAGAAAGAGATAAATCGTCTCTCTCTCTCTCTCTCTCTCTCTCTCTCTCTCTCTTATAGGATTACTATTACTTATGGAATTATTTCTTGACTGAGCGATAATATTATTATTCTTCACATGGAAAATCAGTGACTTGTTCTTTTGACAAATTCTGATAATCATTTTCCAAACCTTCTAATGAATTCTTTAGTTCTTCAACTCTTAATTTAAAAAAAGGCTCTTCTACTTTGTTTTTATCTATTAATAAACTTGCTACTTTTTGCTTTAAATTTTTAACAGTTAAATAATCTTCAAAACTCAATTCACTAATCTCTTTTTCGTTTAATTCAATTACTTTCTCTTGGCAACTTCTAAGTTCTTCCTCTTGTGATTGTTTGATTTCTTCTTTTTGACTATTGTTTAATTTGCTTTTTTTATTTTTGGGAAGCTGTGGCTTACCTCATTTTCCTCACGATCTATTTTCCTCATTTTGCCCAAACTTTATCCTTATGTCTATTAGTTTCTTTTGAAATGGTTCAAACTCATCGAAATAACTGCTAAGATTGCTTCCATTTGGCTCTCATTTTAGGTAATATTCTTCTAAATCTAATAATTCTTTTTTGAATAATCCCCACTGCAATTTCTTAACCTCCTTTAAACTGTCAGAATCAGTGCTTTTTTCTAAATTTTCTACTCTTTTCTTAGCAGTCTCAAAATATTTGTCCTTTAATTCAATGAAGTCTCCTTTGTTGTCCATGTTAACAAGAATTTAATGTATATGACTAATTTTATTATGAAAAATGAGTTCAGGTGTCTGTGCAGTCTGAATAATTTTTATTTCTTAAGAAGCAAAAAAAACACTAATTTTTCTTCAAAAATGCAAAATAAATAATTAAGATAATCACAGCAACTATGATCAATTTGGTTTCTAAACTAATTTCTTCTCAACTGGTCGGAAAATTTCAATTATTTTCACTAGAAATTATGTTTTTGCTACCTATGCTTTGAATTACTTTTTCTGAAGCTTCTAGTGCATCTCGCAATTTTTTATTGAGTTTCTTTTGATCATTAAGTTGAGTAGTATAGAAGTTTTTCTGATTGTTAAGATATTCTTCAGTTTCATGATCTGCTCTTAAGTCAGGATTTTGTAGTTTCTGCTCAATGTTTTCTAATAATTCCTCTAACTTTTTTTCATTTCCTTTCCCTCTGTCAAGTTCTTCTTGTTTTTTTTCTCTTTCGCGTTTGGCTGCTTCCAAAGCCGCAATTTGACTTTCAGTTTGAGCCTCGGCTAATTTATCTTTTCTGGCTTCCTTTCTTGTTTCTTTATCAGCTTCATCCAAAGCCCCACCGACTAAAAATCCTGCTCCACCACTTAAAAGTAAACTAGTTCCTCCAGTAGCAGGAGCTAAGGCAATTCCAATTCCTGTTCCTATTGCTTTTCAGTTTATTCCGAATGGCATATTATTTCTTTATGTTTAATCCTGACTTTATTGACTTTAATTTATCAGACAATTCTTTTATTTTGCCTTGGTATTTGTCAATATCTTGCAGGTGTGATTGGATAACTTTTTTAATGTTTTCTATTGAAATTTCTAATTGTTTGATTTTTTCTTTTATTTCTTGTTTGTTATTCATTTCTTATTATGTCTTCTAACGTGTTTATTTTCTTTTGTAATTCTTGTAATCTTAGTTCTAAAAATGAGTCTTTATCCTGGCGAGCTAATTCCATTTCATTCTTTAGGGATTTAATTTCTTCATCTAATGTTAACACCATTTCTCCTAAGCGAACATCCAAAATATCTTCGATCTTATCTTTGCGAGGAGAAATAAATTTGCCATCAAAATGTTCCAGTTGTCCACTTTCTTTTAAATTTCGACTGTCCTGGTCGGCAAAATCTCAGTGAATATTAGTTCAATCGTAGTTATCTTGCTTTTGCAACTTCCTTCTTTGCTGGCGGGAGAGAATGGGAGTTTCTGGGGGTAAAATGGTGTTGCCGAACTTATCGATTCCTTGGGGAGTGTTTTTTTTGGGTAATTGACCAGCGGGAAAACTAATCAGCGGTTGCGGTTCTTCCAGAATAATTGGCTCCAGAGTAGGAGAAGGTAAACTAGACTGAGTTTGGGCTGGGCTTTTTCAATAAAAGTAACAAATTACTAAGACAGCCAGCAAGATGAGCAGTTGGGTATTAGTCATATTAGTTGGTTTTTTTTAACTGCTCGACTTCCTTTTTTAGTTCATCGATCTGATGCTGTTCGTGACCGTTTTTTTTCTCTAACTTAGCCGTGCGTCAGTCTAGTTTGAGCGAATAATTAAAGAACATGGCTAACATGGCGACAATTACTCCACAGAGAGCTAAGCACAAGTAAAATCAGTTGGTGCAGTCCATTAGCATTAAGCCTGGTCAATAATCTTCCCTAAACTGAGACCAATCTGTTTTCAGTTTTCTAAAATCTTTTTCTTTTCTTGCTCGCGAGTTTGCTGTTTAGCCAGGGCTAGTTTTTTACTGTTCTGCTTACAGTGCTGAGCTACCTGGGTGATTTTGGTTCCCTTGGGTATTCCTTGCTTAGTTTTTTCCGCACAACAGCAATAGTAATCGTGAGTGGATTTAGTTTTGGTAAGGAGATTGTTTTTTTTAGTTTGGGGTTTACTTGGTCGAAGTATTACTGCTTTCTTTTTTGGTTTATTTATCTTGGGCATAATATTTATTCAATTAAATTATCAAAATCGAGATGACAATTGAAGTCGCTTAACCTTCTGAGTAAACTTTTCGCCACTAGTAAAAGATATTCATAAGCAATCTCTTCGGCTAAAGTTTCACTCTCCGGTAAATTCTTTATTTCGGAATAATTGTTTTCATAAGCAAAAGAGAGTTCACGATAATCAGCATCTTGCTCTAAGTCTAAGTTTTTTTTGTCTCTTAAATTGGGTAAAGGGAGAATTTTATTGAGTAAGTCAGCGATTAAGTAGTGGGTTTGAGTTTCAACTTGGTTTCAATATTTTTCGGTGGTGGTTAATTTATTATTTTTCACCATAGTTTTTTTGATAAAAGTAGTAGATAACTAGGGCTACTAAAACCACGGCAGCAATCGTTCATTTGTGTTCTTTAATTTTGTTCAGCATAATTTATTCGTTTTTTTGGTATAACTTTCAAGCATAAGTAACTACCACATAAGTGATAATGCCGACTGCTAAATACTTGAAGCGATAACTCATAGTTAATTCTTGATTGTGGTTCATATTTTTAAGATTTGGTTTTTATTTAAAGTTGATAATTAGGTGAGATTAAGGTGAAAAAAAGTGGGTTAGGATTGTTTGGTAATGGTTTTTGGTTGGTGAGAGTTATGG